TTCTCCATGGCAGGGGCTGATCTCCCCGCCAACCCAGTGCACCACCAGGCAGGGTCTGCGATTGTGGGCAGGCTGGTGGAGAATCCAGGAAAAGACTGGTGCTAACAGCCTGAACCTGAACCCCTGTGTGGATCCCTGCAGAACCAGAGAGGAAAGTTTGATGTGCTTCCCCAAACTCTGGGCCAGCAGCACAAGTCCTAGTTGGCAGCAGAAGGGAGTGGATTTCTCTGATGTCTAAAAGAGGGAAGTGAATGGGGTCTGGAGGAAGATAAGTTTGGGTTTGAGAGTGGAAAACTCTGAAACTAGGAGCAAAGTGATGCCTCAGCCATCCTGGTCCCATCTTCCCTCAAGCTGGGGGCCCAGGGAGGGAGAACAATAAAGGTAGAAGATGCCAGGATGGCAGCCACTGCCCAGGAGGTGAGTTCCCAAGCTGGAAGGAGAGGTCTGGGTGGCCCTTTTCTGAGGCCAGGCAGTGGGGGTGGAGAAAATAAAGTTGAGCATGTTCCAGAAGGATCCAGGTGCCTGGGCGGTGGCATCTGTGTCTCCATACTCCTTGGGCCATCCCCAACCTTCCAGAGGCCAGAGAGGGGGAAGGAAAGAGGAGAGGAGGAGACTGGGCTAGGCCAGGGAGCCCCAGGGACAGTCACTTTTCTTTCCTTCTTCACCTATGTCACCTTTGCAACCCACCAAGAATTTGCCCTGAGTGTGTGGGAGGCTCTCTCACTCAGACACACTCTCAGGGATACCCTCCCCTATGCCTTCCCTGAGCCCCCAAACCCTTCCTGTATGTGGCCTCTTTTTCCAAAACATCCCTTTCTTTCCTGGGTAGCTCAAGCCCTATGTCCTCTGTAATCCACAAATCTCCTTTTCCACTCTGTAGCCAGTGCCCTGGACAGGAAAGGGCCCCCCAAACTATGCCTGCCCACCAAGGCCCCAAGTCTGGGCCAGAATCCAGACCCCATGGTGGTGAGGCTCTTTGTTCTCCAATAGCCTCAGCCCACCCCCTCCTTTTTTTTTTAAACTCGAATTTCTCCCATAAAAGGGGGGGCAGGAGCTTGAGAGCTTCAAGCTTTTTTTTTTTTTTTTTTTTTTAGATCCTGGGGAATTTGAAGGAAACAGAAGAAATTGTGGGGAAAAGAAAGGGAAATCAACTGATGCTTAATTTCCAGAGAGAAGAATCTGGGACATACCAACTTCATTTCTCTCATCCTTCTCTCTAGCCTGGTGTTTAAGGTACACCAGGCCCTCGAATGGGCTCATCAAGCCTGCACCCTTCTGCTGCAGACACTGCTAACTTACACCTCTGACTTTGTCTTTAATACAGTGGGCCAGGAATTCCACCCCTCATGTTCAGAAAGGCTCAGACAGCTGCCTCTTCATTTTCTTAGTATTTTCCTGGGGGATGTGTAGGTAGATAGGATGAGTATGTAAATCAAGTGTGTATACAGAGAGATTAAACAAACCAGCAGAGATCTTTACTTGCGTATAGAGGATGTCAGCAGAGAACTGGGTATCTTCATGAACACATTGGGCTGTGTCCACAAGGGCATGTGCTGGAACAGTGCATGCAGCCTGCACACGGTCCCAAGTCCACAGGCCAGGAGTGAACACACACACACACACACACACACACACACACACACACACACTGAGAACCCACGCTGAATATCTCCTTTGTATGTTGGACACTTAGAGAAGAAGAATTTCAGAGTTGAACTTAGCCTGGAACTCAGTCCCTAGAGAAAACTAAGGACAGAGCCTAGCCGTTGCAAATGTCCCTTTGGGAAAGGAGCCCAGAGCAGAGCCCGGTCTTCCCGATGGGGCTGAGGGGCTATTTTCCATTTTCCTTTGCTATAATGAAATGCTGCGTCTTCACTCCCACACCAGCAGCTCAGCTAGAGACCGAGGAGTCACATTCCCTTTCCTTTCTCTTGATTTCCTCTAAACTTCCTCCGCAGTCAAGCTCCAGCGCCCCATCGGTGAAGCCGGCGGGCGAGGTGTGGCGGTGCGGTGGGGGGCGAGCGCCGGCCGCGGGTTTCAGCGGCTTTCTAGGGCTGGATCGTCTCGGAGATGTAATTACTACGTTTCCAGTGGTGCATATTCTCCTGGAGTGTTTAATTTGGTTTTATTTGTGTCTCAGCCAGATCCACATTTTTTCGGGGGAGGAGAGAGAAGCGACCCCAGGCTTAAAGTTAATTAACCAAGCAGGCTTTACTTTCCGCCGCCAGTCCGTCCGAAGGCTCTTGCACTGCCGCCTCCCTCCCCGCTCCCGGAGCGCCCCCGGCGCGGAGCCGGTTTTAGGCGCGGACTGTCTTGGGGAGCCCAGCGAAGGAACCGGGAATCGTTCAGAGTATGCGGTCACGTCTCCAGATGCTTTTGACTCCCTTAGCCCTGAACTTTCCCCTTCTCCAGCCTTCCCACACCCCCCAAGTCTCTTGGGGGGCGTACATCTTCGCTGGCTGGTCTTCTTGATGAAGGAGACTTTGGTTCCCTCTCTTCTCGTTGCTAAATTTTGGCCGCATCGTGCCCCTAATAAATGGAATTGTAAAATTGCCAGGTTAATTAAATCTATATCTCATTGCAATAGGAATAGTTAATGTCCTTACATAAACCTGGAAAAGAACATACTATTAATTTTATTTATTGCTGGGCCGCCCTGCACCCAGATCCTTCCCGCCGTTCTGCCCCCTACTCCCAAAGGCTGGGGGAAGCATGTCTTTGGGTCCGGGTCCGCGGAAGACGCGTCTGGCGTTGGGCTAGAGCATTCCTGGACTGGGGAGGGAACCCCAGGAATGGGGTGGGCGGTTCAGGCCCTTTGTTTCTCCCGGCGGCCCCACAGAGCCCGGTCCACGTAGCCCTGGGTTCTCCACGCAGACCCAGCACTTCACAGTGGGAAAAGCCAGGGTTTCGGCACCCCCTCTACACCTGCGGCTGGAAAACCTCAGACCTCCTCACTACCTACCCCACCAGCCAGGCAGCAGGCAGATGGGGGCCAAGGTCACACGACCCAGTCTAGACCGGCCAGCCCCTGTTTGCTCTCCTTGTTCTACCTTGACCTTGGACTCTGAGGCAGGGAAGCCAGTTTCCTAGCCAAAAGCCATCTCCCAGCAAGCCCCCACCTTCCCAGGGCTCATCTCTCCTCCCTCCACCATCATCGCCCTCAACACACTTTGAAGCTAAGCCGGCTTATGTTTTGTATTTTCTTCCTACTGCCAGCCCAGCCCAAAGCCTGCTTTCAGACTCTGAGGTGACCCTTCTAGATGAACATCACACTGATAAAGATTACTCATTTTTTATCCTAATTCACCGACACGAGGGCGCTCTCCATCGTCAAATACTACCTTCCCCATACAGGGAGAAGGGACGTGGCCATGGGGCCGCATCTCAGTACAGACTTGGCATTTGCTCTCAGGTTTGAGGGATCCAGTGGGTCGGGACTAGCCTGGGGCTACGGCATGGCCACCCCCTGCGAGCCAACTGGACAGGAGCACCCAGCATTTAAAATCTGTGGCAGTGGCAGGAAAGAGGGAGATGCAGCCCCTCTCCCCCTTTCTCTCTCTCTCTCTCTCTTTATTACCTCACTGGGCATAGGAAACCCAAGTCTGGAGATTGGTAAAGAAGAGGGGGACTTTTTCAAAAATCAGTAAATTGGTGTTAATTTTCTCTTTGACATATGGGGCAATTTTAAAGCATGCAGACACTCCACACTAAAAGGGAGTGACCCTAAGAAAACCGTGGAAGCCTAAGTTAGAGAACTGTGTTGATCCTGGCTCTGCCCCTGGGCCCTCTCAGGCCGGCTCAGCCCAGGCTGCAGAGGGCAGAGGCGGCCTGCCAGGCTTAGGTCGGTCCTTCTGGGGTCTTACAGAGTTGCGCCTGGGAAAGGTCCCTCCAAAGGGGCAGATTGGCGGACTCTCGTTCCACGTTTCCTTTTGTACACCGATCTGAGAGCGCTTGCTCTTGTTCGCATCAAGGGCTTTTTAGCTTTCCTAGACCGAATTCTTCCCCCACCTCCTGCCCTTTTCTTTGAAAATCTCACTCTGGGGCTTTTCATTTCTATTGTACATTGAAATATCAGTCTATCCTATTGCCCTCATTTCCCTCCTTTTATTCTTTTTCCATTTTCACTGAGAGCATCACTCCACCCCCTCCGTGTAGTGATGTGTGTGTGTGTGTGTGTGTGTTTTGGGGCTATCACACCCTCTCAGCCCTCTCTGCTCTGCAGTGGAGGTGGAGGAGCCGAAAGTGTCCCTCTCAGACAACTGGGGCTTTGGAGAAAGTGGCTGAAAGTCGGAAATGGAAATGCAATCCCGGCATCAAAGTCTCTCGGTGCGCGGCTTCGGGTTCTTTCCATCCGCGAGTTCTAGGGGATTATGCCAGGGCCAGAACCAGGGCTCCCCACGCCTTGCCCGCACGCTTCCGCCTGCTTTCTAGTTTATTTATTAAGAGGGGGGAGAAATCCAGTTTCTCCCCCACCCTTAGCCCCAACCCCAATCCAGTCACATTGATCGTTTTTTGAGTAAGGATCAGTCTCCCCCATAGCCAATCTAAACCTAAACCTAGAGGGAGGCGCCCAGGAACAGTCCTAGTCTCTCCAGACCCCTTTGCGTCGGCCAAATTCAGCCTTCCCCTCCTCCCTCTCCCTCCCTCACCCTCCCTCCGGCCTGCCAGGGGGGCGTTGCCCTGTCCCTTTAAATCTCCCAGCTCCCTCCTCTTCGCCCCTCCTGAGAGCCAATCATCAGAGACCCGTTTCCTTTTGCCCCGCCCCACCGCAAGGGGTGGGAACCCCAGGAGACCAGGCCCCAGAATCACTTGCGTTGGCCGCGTCACGTGGGCGCGGGAGGGGTGCTAAGGGGAGCCCGGCGGGAGACGGCGGATTTCTTAATGAAGTGTCCCCGCATGCGTAGAGGGTTTGTAGGGCGGGAGGTGGAAGCACTAGGAGGAGGAGGGGAGGGGAGAAGAGGGAAGGGAGGAGGGATGGGGGAGGGGAAAAGGGAGCGAGGTGTCTCCCTAGCTCGCTGCCTCTGGCAAGTGGAGTTTTTAAAAAGCTCGAGCAGATCATGTCATGACGACTTCGCTGCTCTTGCATCCGCGCTGGCCGGAGAGCCTTATGTACGTCTATGAGGACAGCGCGGCGGAGAGTGGCAGCGGAGGCGGCGGCGGGGGAGGCGGCGGCGCGGGCGGCGCGGGGGGCGGCTGCAGCGGAGCGAGCCCCGGCAAAGCTCCCAGCATGGACGGGCTGGGCAGCAGCTGCCCGACCAGCCACTGCCGCGATCTGCTTCCACACCCCGTGCTGGGCCGCCCGCCGGCTCCCCTGGGCGCCCCACAGGGCGCCGTCTACACGGACATACCGGCCCCGGAGGCGGCGCGCCAGTGCGCCCCGCCGCCGGCGCCCCCCACCTCGTCCAGCGCCACCCTGGGCTACGGCTACCCGTTCGGTGGCAGCTACTACGGCTGCCGCCTGTCGCACAACGTGAACCTGCAGCAAAAGCCTTGCGCCTACCACCCGGGCGATAAATACCCGGAGCCGTCGGGCGCCCTGCCCGGTGACGACCTGTCTTCCAGGGCCAAGGAGTTCGCCTTCTACCCCAGCTTCGCCAGCTCCTACCAAGCGATGCCCGGCTACCTGGACGTGTCGGTGGTGCCTGGGATCAGCGGGCACCCGGAGCCGCGTCACGACGCGCTCATCCCCGTCGAAGGCTACCAGCATTGGGCTCTCTCCAACGGCTGGGACAGTCAGGTGTATTGCTCCAAGGAGCAGTCGCAGTCCGCCCACCTCTGGAAGTCTCCCTTTCCAGGTAAGGAAGGGGCCCGAGCGCCGCCAACGCCGCCGCCGCCGCCGCCAGGGACCCCTCCCCGCCCCGCCTGCCCCGGGGCTCCGCGCCTCAGCCACCCCCGCCGTCTGGCCCCGGCGCGCCGGCTCTGCTGGGCTGCCGATGGAGCCGGCCGGGCGAGCTGCGCTGAGGAATGCGCCGGGGAAGAAATCTGCTCCGACACGTTCCCCGGAGCTGCCCGGCCGAGAGTGAAGCAATCACAGGCGCCCGAGCGCCGGGCCTCCGGCTCGGCTCGAGTCGGGAGCTCGCCTCCTCCTCCCCCAGCCCGCTCCAGTCTCACGCGCGGCTCTTGGCCCCCCGAAGCCCGCTTCCAGCCAGGAATGGGGGTGGGGTGGGCCTTGGGTGCTTTGGAATCCGAAACCACCAGGACAAAACCCTCAACCCACCGGATAATTGAGGAAAAAAATAAGAACTATCTTGCCTGAATTTTCAAGATCATTCAAGCATAGATAAGTTTTTGTGTTTGTTTTTGTTTTTCGAACAGGGGTCTAATTTGCCGGGTCCAAAGAAATGCAGAATATTTTCTTTTCTTAATTTATTTTAAGAATTCGGCCACGAATTTCCTGATCGTTAAAGGAGAACTAAAAATCTCTGGAGAGGACGTGGTGAGAAGGGAGTTTGCATCCCTCTCCTGGGATATAAAATTTTCTTTGCCTCTCTGGTATGCTGAGCTCAAAACCTGTGGGTGTTCCCACTGCCAACCCCCCCAAATGTCGGGGAGAAAGAGAGTTTTCTATGCCTCAAACACAGAAAAAGGGGAATGAGGATGAGAAGTGAGGGACTGAAGACCTGTTCTGGATACATCTGGGATCCAGGCCCAGGATAGGGACCCCTAAGTCTTTGCCTGTGTATTGGGGGGGCAGAATTCACCGATGTCCTTTTCCAGCTGAGGCTATTTCTGAACCAGAGGGGATCCTGAAATCCCCATCATTCCCCAGGGGAGAAAGATCAGTCCCAGGTTTGTCAAAATCACATCAGGAGCTTTGGATTCAGCACAGCGCTGAGAAATTATGAATCCAAAGCCTGAGTCTGCTCTGGCTGTAAGCAGAGCTCGGTGGGAGAGGGCTGACTGGCTCCACTCTAATGCCTACAGGAATCCGGGGGGGGGGGCGCATGGAAGCCACAGATGTCTCCCCATACTATCCAGAGGGCCCCCCAGCTCTACATGTGAGCCCAGGGACATTTTCACTGGGAATTAGAGATCTGAAGACCTCCTAAGGGTGGGCCTGAAATTCCTCTGCATCCGGGATTGGGGCAAGGGCAGATGGTGAAAAAAATCACTGAATGATATTAGAAAGTGTAGAAGATAACATTCTTGCACTATGAGACTACTTAGTATAACACAACTGAATATCCGGGTGGGACCCACACTAGGCACCCCATTTCTGGCTGCCAGAAGATTCCAGGATGATAGAATTATAGTACACGGTATCATGTATTACCTGTTCTGAATTGGCAATAATATTTTTATATAATAATTTCTGTTATCAACTACCTAATATGAAACACGTGATAATACATTTCTAGCAGATAGACAATTCACATGTAAGTATACAGTAATGTACTATAGACAGATGGCCCTTTAATTCACCATCTCACCCAAACTGAAAATTCCTTAGGAGACAGGGGTCCAGCAGGAATTCCTGGAACAGGGGGAGCTGGTAGGCCATGCTAAGAGGTGGAAAGGAAGGGGAGCAGATGCCCACCTCACCCACTGTGGGCAGAGACATAGGTCTAGAGCAATGGGCAATGGGTTTAGTGTGGAGAGGTGAAGAGAAGGAGCTGCTTTGGCATCCCTGTGAATGCATGTAGAGTGAGGTGGCAGTGAAGGATTGGAGAGGAGCTCAGAAATATCTGAGCAAAATGAATATCTTAAATATTCCCAGGGGAAAAAAAACCCTACTAAAAATAAACACTTTTTGATCATAGCCTCCTAGAGAAAAATATCTTTGAAATAAAAAAAAATACAGCCCAATTGAGGTTTAATACACTTGCAAATTACAGCATGGAAATGGATATAAAACCCACTGTGTCTCAGCAGCGATATGCTCACACAATCCCCATGTGGAAACAGAATCAGGCTGGTATATCTCAGTGAGTGCAGATGTCCAGGCAAAAAGCAGATGAAAAAGAAATTATCTTCAGACACCCTGCATCTTTCTACCCACACAGAGATCTTTTAGAAGTAGTGAGATTTCCAGATAACTCTGTCTATGCACTTGTGGTTTGTTCGGCAGCATCTGGGCATAAACACTACTGTCTCTCTTTAGCGCCTCTGGCTCTGAGAAACCTCACTATGGCAGTCTGGGCTGGTGTGGGATATGGAGGCAATTGTTCAGAAAGATCCAGATAATTAGGGCCAAGATGTGTTGTGGCTTCTTCCCCCAATTATACAGACCCTTGTTTCATTGCTCCTTTTTTTTTTCCTTCCTATGATGAGTGTAGGCACTTTTTTCTTTTTCTGTTTTTTTTTACAGAGAGACAAAAATTCTAAGACAGAATCAGTAGAAATTCTAAGAATCAGAGCATGGGGGTGGGGGGTGGGCAGGCAGAGACAGAGTCAGGTTTGGGGGAGAGCAATAGAATGAAATAGTGGGTTCTTTGGGCCATATTGGAAGTCCCTACTGACAAGCCTTTGGATTATGGTTGAGAAGAGCAGCTAGGATTTCTAGGTGGACAAAGTCCTCTTCAGAACGCAGAGCCCTGTTGTAGGAGTGGGTGGTCAATAGCAAGTGGGGAGTGGGAACCTGTGCACAGGACCCCAAGAGAAGGCTACAGCTGATCATTGATCTGATTTTTCTTCACTTCTCAAAGATGTCTATTAGGTCCCCAGGTCTGAAGTGGTTTGTGTGTGTATGTGCTCTGGAGGGATGTTAGGGAAGGCTTGATTGTAAAATTAATAATTCTTCCTGAGCACTTTAATTTCCTACTGGCATTTGACTGTGACTGTGACCAAGTCCCCTACTTACTTTAGGCAGTATGGACACAACTGGAGGTCTGAGCTTCCAGATGTTTCTGTATCTGTAGATCCCAATTCCTTTTCAGGCAAGACAGCAGACAATGAAAGGGGGCTTCTTTGAGAAGGCAAGACTAAAGGTATTTTCCCAAGGAGCCAAAACAATCAACATTTTGGTCAGATCCATTAAAAACTTTGGCAAGTCAATCCTTGGCATCCTATAGAGGAAAAATAGCCAGTTTAGACCAGGTATCTGCTTTTTAAAACCAATTTTTAAGGATTGTGTTGATTAAACCTCTTCGGAAATTTAGAGTTGGTGTTTAGAGGATCCAAAATTGGGTAGGTAACTGTGAGCATTTCCAGAAAGTGAAATAAAAAGTCAGGGACAATTAGCTGGTTAATTCAGGAACCAAAACCCACTTTATCTCATTTTGCTCTCCAAGGAAAAGGAGGTATTTTGTACCAGATAGCCTATTTCCATTTTAGAACTTACTGTCTCATTATGTTGAGTCAGAAAAATCTTGGTTTAAAATCTGGCTCTGCCACTTAAGTTATTTTACCCACTCTGAGCCTCAGATTCCTCATCTTGTAAATTGGGTTTAATAAAATAAGGCTGAAAAATGTTCTGAGGATTTAAATTTAAAAAAAACAAAACAAAACCCCAAATACCCCCTGGTAGCACTATTTACCCTCTTTGTTTTACTCTTGTCCCGGAATCACCAATCTCCGGAACCATGGCTGTGTCTGTGAGAGCAAAACAAAGTTGAGAACTGAGAGATTTTAAAAAAATTTTCTTGTACAAAAAATTCTTTTTACCCTAAAGGATCTTCTCTGTTCAAGTGAAGCTGTTTTGTTTTTCAGATTTTTTTTAAAAAACCTTGGCCTGTTCCTACACAGGCAGAGAAAAGTGACAAGTCCAACAATTTTCCTGAGAAATTGTCATCATGAAGACAGCCAAACCAGGCCATTGGAACCCCCTCTTTCACATATTCTTCCTGAGCACTTTATTTCCTACTGGCATTTAACTGTGACCTCTTCTCTTTCTGGCCTGTATAGACAAGTATTCCTGGGTGAGACCAGACCCAGTGGGAATGGTGTAGGGAAATTGTTTTATGAGGGTGGGGTGAGAACAAGCATTTCAGGAAGAGCTTTATGTCTGCGTTCTGGACTGCCTTTATACTTCCAAAGGGCAGTAAGAATGAAGGAGGAACCCCAAATATTCCGTCCTCATCATTAGCTTCTGCCTGAAGAAGTCTAACAATTACATTTTTAAAAATTGAGGGGTGAATTATTCAGATGATCTCCCTAATACCCCACTTTCCCCTTGAAAGTGTTGCAATGATCTTTTTATTAACAGAGGTGAGGGTGGAATGGAAGGGGGGGATATAAGTGACATATATTGTTCTTAGTTCCTGTGAAATTCACAGACTTAAAGAATTTTACCTAGTAGTGGTTGGAATAACAAGGTAATTAGGGTGGCTAGGGTTCCTATATGCGATGGAGACAGTTTCTCTCAGCTTTGGAGGAATGGAGAGGAGAGGGGGCTGGAGCAGAATTTGCTCTCTTTTGGTGAGAGGACACTTGGCGGGGCGGGGGGGTTGGCAAGGAGAGACACAATTCGTTTTGTAGAAGACTTAACGTCAACAGCTGGTTTTAACCCAAGAAGGGCTCTCCTAGTGCCTCCTTTGGTGCGCAGACCCTGAGGCATGGACTCTACCTTCAGGGGCCTGATTCCCTACGTCTCCCATCCAGGACCTCTCAACTTGGATGCTGTTAAGTGGCTCACAACATTGGACATCTAGAGCCATTGGCTCCCCAGCAGGCTGGCTTCACCTGGACACTTTTCTTCTCTATCTGTTGGTACAGGTCTCAGATTCCTAGGGCAGAGGCAGTGACCAAAGGCATGAGGCCCCACTTGTTGGTTGGTTCCCACTGAATCTCTCTCCCTTCCTGCCATGCCCTCCCTCAAACAGACAACACAACGCCTTCCCCTGATAATGGGGCACAGTTTATGCTAATGGATGCCCAAGTGATCTAACTGCAGGAAAGAGGAAATTTCCTGAATACTCACAATCCTCTAGGCCCTCAGACCAGGGTGAAATTTGTAGGGACCCTTTTAAGGGTACAGGATTTTAATAACGAATGCTGTGCAGAGCTATATTGGAGCCTGAGGCAAAAGGAAAAATCAGTACTACTGGTCCCATGTTTATTTTAAAATTTGTTGTTTTGTTTATCATGGGGTTTTTTTGCATTCATTTTGATTTTTTAAACATTGCATTAAAATATTACTTATCTCAATTCCCAAGTTTTTGGCTCCCCCCTCTAAAAGTTTTCACCAGAGGCAACACATCAGTGGCCTCACCTTAGTCGTGGCCTTGCTAATAACAGGCGCAAAGAATTAGGGGGCAATTCATCTGTCCCCATCGAGTCCCTGCCGGCACCTTGAGCCTACTCAGTGGTGCAGCCTGGGGCGCACAGCCCGGTTGGTCCAGGGTCCAGGCACGCGACTCACTTCCTGCCGCCCGGCTTCTTTCTCCCCCCAGACGTGGTTCCCCTACAGCCCGAGGTGAGCAGCTACCGGCGCGGGCGCAAGAAACGCGTGCCCTATACCAAGGTGCAGCTGAAGGAGCTAGAGAAGGAGTACGCTGCCAGCAAGTTCATCACCAAAGAGAAGCGCCGGCGCATCTCTGCCACCACGAACCTCTCCGAGCGCCAGGTCACCATCTGGTTCCAGAACCGACGAGTCAAAGAGAAGAAGGTGGTCAGCAAATCAAAAGCGCCTCATCTCCACTCCACCTGACTGCTCATCTGGCCACCCGCCCCGTCTATTTATGTCGCCGCTTTGTACCATTACCGAACCCAACGAAGGACGCTTCGCCTGGTGCAGACGAATATTTAATGTTAACAAGAAAGAGTGACTGCGCCCCGGGAGGCAGAGAGGATCAGAGGGCGCGCTCTGCAGCCCCCTACTCCCCACCCCATCCCCAACTCCCACCCCTGTGCTGATGGGACCTACCAGGCCTCAGCAGCTTTGGAGGTGGGTCTGGGTGGGCTGTGGGAGGAAGGCCGATGGCCTCCACACCCTTTTGCCCTCATCCTTCGCCTTGCTAGAAAGCTGAGAGGCAAGGGGCGAAGAGCCCGATCATTCCAACTAAAGCAGGGTTAGGGAGCCCCAGATGACCCCATTCTTGCCTCATCCTTTGCCCAGGCAGGTTGATGACCCTCCTGAGGGTGGGGCCTCGGTGCAGGACCTGGCGAGCTCACACTGTCCTTCCGGTCCCTCCTCCTGTTCCCTGTCCCTCCTGCACTCTTTAGTTAGGCAAGATTTCCCAGGTAAGGTTTTCTGTGCATATTTTAAAAGTCGCATTAATATTAATGATAATTGTTAGGGATCTGGCATCGTGATTGGAGCACAGACAGTGCATAGGTTTTCTTTCTTTCCTGTTTCAACAAAAGCTGGAATTGGTGGAGGAGCTGCCTACCCCCACCTCAACCAGGAAACTGAATTTCTCCGGAGCCGACTTGGCCTCCGCTGCCTCCTCTGTTCCGCTCTCTCAGTCAACATGCAGAAATCCAAGGAGGATGGAAACTCCAACCACACTGCTAAATACGTCTCCCTCTCTCTCTCTCCCTCTCTCTCTTTCTCTTCCTCCCTCCCTCTCTCTACTGGGGATCAGGCCAGGCACAGAAGCAGAACATTTTTCTAAGGAAAGAACAAACTTCTCTTCCAAGGAGAGTGGGTCCCCCAGCAGAGCCCCTCTCCAGTTGCTTCTCCATGGAGGCAATCACTGAGGAGAGCGCCTCACACTTTCACTTTTACTGATTGTCCAGAGGGAAGCAGTTTTCTTCCAGGAGGCCAAAATAACCAGCCCCCAATTAACCAGCTAATGTAGATGCTGCCTAACATATCCCTCCTCAAAGGCCAACTTGCTGCTGAGGGGGGAGGTCCCTCACCTTCTCCCTTCCCACTGGTGCATTACAAAACAGTGTTCTTTTGAAATGTTCATCAGAAATAGGCTTTTTTAAAATGTTGTGTATCTGTATATAGTGTTGTGATGTCTGAATGACAATGTACTGAATGCAAAAAGAAACCCACAAACCTGTTTTTAAAATAAAATCTTTTTTTTTTTTTTGCCTTGATTTTATTACTCAGATTCCTTCTGCAGACCCTTCTGTCCACTGGCTCATCAGGGCCATCTTTGCTGCCCTGACTCAGCCAGAATGGGCAAGGGGAAGAGTGTAGACATCACCCCCAGCTGGGTAAATTTCAAACTCATATTCTGTTCCACTCAAGTTTTTAAAGTGAGTTATTTGGGTTGTTGATGTGATCTAGATAGGAGAAAACACCTTCAGAAAAGAGGAGTGTATGTTGGGGAGAGAAGGATGTAATCAGCGACTGGGAAGGCCTGGAAGCAGGTGAGTGAGAAAAGTACGTTGCCTGTCAACTTCAGTTAGGATGGTTGGGGCTCAGATCCGGACTTAGGAGCTGAGAAGGCGGCACCCGGCCCAATCCAGAGCTGGATGCTGTGGTGGTAGTGGCTGTGGTAGAAGCGGTGGGGGCCGTGGTGGGGAACTAATCTTGGGCTTCTGGGGTCCTACTGCCCCCAGAGGGTCTGCAATCCCTCCAGCCAGTGCAGGGCTGGGGCTGGGAAGGGGTCTGCACAGCCTGTCCTGCTGGGGGCAGACGCAAGCTCAGCACTCCTAGGCTGCTCTCTTTTCTTCCCCATCAATTTATGCAGGGATATCAGGCCGCTAGGACCCCTTCCCCCCCCAGTTCATAAGCCAACCCCACCTTTATTTTCCAGCATTCCTGGGGACCACAGACTTCTAGGCTGTCAGGAGCCATGTAGACTCTGCCATTAATTTGTTTCCCTTGTCGCGTCCGTCGAGCCTATCTCCCTATCTGGCAGAGTTAATGAGATCGTTAAGTTGTCAGGTTAAGAGACTTTTAAAAGGCAATATAGCCTAAAACAATGTTATCTCAGATTAATCTTTACTGCAGCAATTTTTATTTATATAAAATATTTTTCCTCTCCTGAGACACAATGACTGGAGGCATTGGGTTGGAAATCAGAGCTCTCCAACCTCCCTTTGCCCGATGGTTGAATTTCTTACAATTTTATTTAAATAAACGTTTCTGGGGGTGAAACACGCACGTGCGCGCGCACGCGCGGGCACACACACACACACACACACACACACACACACCATGGAATCTGAGAAAGAGACAAAGAGGCTGAAGAATTCATCCTCCGTAAAGGCTCTGCTAGTGATGTGCCTGCCAGTTCCGGTCTACTCCATTTCAACTCTGGGTCAGCTATCAAAGAATCACATGCTGGGAAGTGGGGTTCAGGGGGGCATAGGTGAAGCTCCCAGGAATAAGGTTCATTCTTAATTCCATCTTCCCTTGTCTTACCACCTGCCACTTTAACCTTTTCCCAAAACCCTGAGTCTCTCCTAGGATGGAAAGAGTTGAAAGTTAAATGTGTGTGTCAGAAAAAGGAACTGAGCAGACAAGAAGCCTGGGGCTCTCTTGATATGGGCCCCCATCCCTCTTGACTTGCCGGTACATTGGCTTTGTCCCATGAGAGCTGTCAATACAGTGGAAGTTGGAGACTGTAGGGAAAGAGAAGTCTAGAGTTCTCCAAGGGATCTCTCTACTTCTGCACACAAACTCACCGAGAGTCTAATGAGGGAGTCTTCCCACACAGAGGGTCCCTCCCTAAGGCCCCAGAAGGGGGCGATGGAAAAAAGGAGAAAGCTCATGCAGGCTCATTGGGGTTGCATTGGGACACTGAAAACCCAGGCAAAGACAGCAGTCCCTCTGAGTCCCTGGGAGCCCCGGTGTGCCAGGGGTGTTTGGGACCGTCTCTGACACTGGATTAAATATGCCTGAATGGGTTTTGGAGGATTATCATGTCTGGATCAATTTTGGAGATGCCTCTCCCATAAGAGTAAGCAAGCGTGAGAACGGAAACTCCTGTGTGAGACAGGTACTGTGTGAGTGTGTATTCTGGGGAGGCAAAGATGGGAACGATGCATTATTGTCTTCCTGATTGTGTGGGTCCTTTACCTTTCCTTCCTCCAAGAGCTGGCATTCTCTCTGGGGACTCTGGGACATTCCTGTGAAGGTGTGTGTGTGCATGTGCACACCCGTGTGTGTGTGTGGGGGGGGGAGAGAGCTTTTGACCAGTGGAGATTTTCCTGTGTGTGTGCAAACATATAAGTAGGAATGTTGTCATCACAGGGTGTAGAGCGTGTTTACTTTTCTTCACTCAAATCTGTAAGGAGCCTTTCTTTCCAAGGCCAATCTCCTAGTGCTGATGCGAGAGTGAGGCTCCACTCTATATGAGGGTGCAGGGGGATACGAGATGTGTGAAGGGCTGAGAGCACAGAGGCTGCCCCTGGAAACAGACAGTCTTTCTCCTCTGGGATTGGGGCTCCTATGATCTTTCTCATAATCCAGTGTCACTCCCCACTCCCCATGCCTCCCCCACCCCACTCCTCAGGCCAGGACTGAGGGACCTGGCTGGGCTGGAGCCTCACAGGACTCTCCATCTAGAGGTCACTCTACCAAGCTGCCAGGGAAGGCTCAGATCCTTTCCTGGGCTTGGGGGGAAAAAAACCTTCCCCACCCACATCTTAGTCCCCAGACCTAGGGCCAGCAGAATGGGCCTTTCAGCCTGTAGTCCCACAGCTAAGAACCCACCTGAGGGAGCAAGGCCAGCAGTTCTCGTGGAGATCCCTCCACGACTGTGTCCAGACCACCTGCTCCTGAGGCTGATCCACAGGCAGCTGCATCAGCAGGCCAGTGTGGGTGTTGAGGCAGGAGCTGTCCCTGGGACATTCTCCATCTCTGGGAGGACTGGAGCTCAGAACCCTGCGGCAGGTCCCCCAAATCAAAAACGAGCTCCCCACCCTAGGATCCACCTGTGCCCCGACTTGGATGATGTCGGAAGCCCACCCCTCAAAAAACTCCAAGTGCTGGTTCAGGCAGATGTGTATCCAGACCTGCGCTGGTGGAAGATTGAGGGGCCCTGGGGAGCGAGGGGCTTTCTGGGAGGAGGAGGAGGGGGCCAGAGCCTTTTCGCAACCAACCAGGCTCTTCCTCTTTTAGCCTTGACCGTGACTAGGTCTTTCTGACCTTGACATCACAGGGAGCACAGGAAAGGGGGGCAGGGTGGAAAAGGCCTTGATCTTCCGGTGGCCAGAGAAGGGGAGGGCCGCTCGCCCCCCTTGACGCGCCATCCCCCTTCCCGCCAGAGCCCGCCGCCTCTGTTTACACACAGAGGAGGTGTCGTCTCCAGTCTAGACAGGGGCGCTAATAACGCCCATAAAAGGCGGCCTCTCCAGAGATGTTCTGCAACTCGGCTCCCGCGCGCCTACCGCTGGCGGTTCCCTCCGCCTCCTCCGCCCCGCCCTCCTCGGATACCAAGGCTGGGCCTGCGGCGGGCCTGCGGCGGCCCTGGGGAGGGGTCAACCACAAGGTTTCTGGAGGCTGAGAAACCCCGCCCCGCACCCTTCTGAACCTCTTCTGTCTCCAAAGGTAAGTAGACCCCCGCTCTTCCAGCCCAGCCTCGAGGTTAGCAGCACATCCTCCCACCCCCACCCGCCAGGCCGATGGCCCCACCTCAGTCCACGCGCGCCCACTCCCCGCCCCGGGACTGGGGGCTTGGATTTGGGAAGCTGTGGAGGCTGGGCAGAGTAGACCCCAAACAGATCTCAGCCTCTCCCCAGTGCTAGGCCTGGCCACAGGCCATGGTCACAGCGAGCCGCTGGCTGTGGGGCAGAGGGCACTCGGGCAGTCCTCACCCCATACCGAGCTTCGAGGTCGCGGAGACCAGGCCCCGGGCTCCCGGATCCAGTGCAGGCGGCTGTGGGTGTGGCG